ATATACTTGTACTAAACTGCGCATGTGTCATATACTTGTACTAAACTGCGCATGTGTCATATACTTGTGCTAAACTGCGCATGTGTTTTATACTTGTACTAAACTGCGCATGTTATATACTTGTACTAAACTGCGCATGTGTCATATACTTGTACTAAACAGCGCATGTCATATACTTGTACTAAACTGCGCATGTCATATACTTGTACTAAACTGCGCATGTGTCATATACATGTACTAAACTGCGCATGTGTCATATACTTGTACTAAACTGCGCATGTGTCATACACTTGTACTAAACTGCGCATGTCATAATTTGTACAAAACTACGCATGTGTAATAGTTGTACTCAGATCTGTCATCAATCTCGTTACCACTGCCTTTTTTCTCACTGTGCATGCTCCAGAGAATAACTTATTTGGCCAAGTTTGCGCAGAAATAAATAATGGCTATGAGAACAAGATTGATTTCTTGTTCAATCTAATAACCCTTCCGTGACATCATTAATGATAGTTACTTTTTCAGCTTTTATTTCGTTTTGCTTTCTTTACACAAGACTTTATTGACTTTCAATTTAATTCATAGCATTTTAAGCGTAAAAAATAATAATTCGCATGCAAAATTTTTGATAAGAAATGTTATTAACTTAAACTCGTTTGGGATCCCTTCAAAACCCACGAAACCACGTGAAGCGCAAGTGACTTTCCCTGTGAAACATAAGAACAGAAACCTAGTGATGAGAAGTGACTTGAAGTTCTCCTTCAAAAATTGATTCGTTTCATTGCTTGTGACGTCAGACACACATGTTTTGATTGGGCGAGTAGCCGACCAATCAGAGCAAGGTATATTTTAAAGATAGAATGGTTTGACTGATTGAAAACATCCTTATATTCCCCATTCTTCCGAGGTATTTTTTGTCCGGTGTGGGAGGAGGAATGGGTCCGTACAAACAAAGTACTACTCACTGGTGAGCAATGTCTGCAATACAATAATTGATTCGATTGTACAACTGACTGTTGACTACCGCTTGAACCCTTCGTGCAGCTGAGCATGCATTCCTTTAGGTCAGCGATCGACGTAATAAGATAAAGGATTTTGAAAAGCATCAACTTTCATCTTTTTGATTGGTCAATTAGATCGTAAACCGGAAACAAAAAAAGCGGGTTAATATTATTGGTTAATCTCTTTCATTCAAATTGTTTCTTTACTAACCGCAGAACAAAAGGACTGCAGGCTCAGGTTAGGTAGATCAAATAAACCAGTAGAACAACATCGTCTATGTTAAACAGAAAACCGTTTCCTTTTCCTTGTTTGTCGATGTTTCTTCACAGGCTTATTGTGATCACTACCTACCCCTTCAATTAACCCGTGCTTCAACAACACCGGCGTATTTCCAAGAAACGTTCACCTTAGAACCTTAAGATGAAGGTCTTGACAACCCGCTCGTAATTCAAAAATTGCAAGTCCTTGGTCCTTTCTTTCCTTGTGGACGAAATACTAGCGATTCTTTTTAACTGTCAAAACAGTTGGGCGGAGCAAGAGGTAGGGATAAACCACACCCTTTTACGACGTCGTTTCCATCATCGTTATCTTATAGAGCAGTTTCATTCTGTCTACTAGACACTTCTTCTTCTAGTAATGAGATTCTTTCTTTTAGGGTTCGAACCTGCACAACAACAACAGTTAGAACAAAGTTAATTGTTTAGATTAAAATGTAGTAGCCCTGGATTACCCTTACGTGGAGTTTAGTACCTGTCCTTTAATCATCCCCACCAACATCGTCATCACCATCATTATCACCATCATCATCATTATCACCATCATCATCACCATCATCACCATCAACATCATCATCATCGTCATTATCACCATTGTTAGAAACATAGAATCGAGGCTCCTCTGTCTTTGATTATTTGCATGTTAATTCTGATTTGCCACACCATATTTACTCAATTACGTCACAAGCTATGCCACGTGTAATACCGTCAGGAAATGTTAGCTTCGTGCCCAGTTTTAGTCATTAGTTAGTCAGATCGTCCACGCTAGAGTCGTATATTTGGAAGCCAAGAAGTAGTTAAAGTTACCCCCTGGCCCTTTAGAATGCAAGCGGGAACAGATGTGTAAGTACAGTAATCAGCTTTACACCTTGTCTAAGCCCAGCCTCGGGCATAATAGCTTTTTAGTTACTTTATGAGACCCGTCTATGGTTTATACCGTGTTTAGTCAAGCACACGGCAACACCCTGAGATTTCTATTGCTTAGTAAGCATTCAATTTACAAAGCTAGGCCTATATCTGTATTTATACATTTAAATCTGTACCTTTAAGTCTAAAGCCTTTATTG